ACACAATTCTCCACAACAACTGACTTTTTTCTGCTACACCCGGCTAAGCTGCTTCGCTTCTTTTTCTTGTTTACTACTGGTGGTTGGCTTTGGTCGCAGTACTGCCACCTTCTGCTCTGGAGTGTAAACGCTTCTCCTGTGAGAAAATGGAGCAGCGCATGAACCGAATGCAACACACGTCCGAACCGAACGGTTCGGACAGTTTTCATAAACCGTTCCATCCCTAATGGGCTTGAAAGCCAACTACCAAATAAATCAGATGGTGTGCATCTCTGTAATGAGAAGGGGTGTGGCCTAATGACATCAACACCCTATATAAGGTGTGCTTAATTATTAGGCAACTTCCTTTCCTTTGGCAAAATGGGTTAGAAAATAGATTTGAAAAACTGAAAAGTCAAAAATTGTTAGATTTCTTTTAGAGGGGTGCAGCAGTTTGGAAATTGCCAAGCTGCTGAAGCGGGATCGTCGCATAATCAAGCAGTTCATGGCAAATAACCAACAGGGGCGCAAGAAGTGTGTTGAAAAAAGAAGATGCAAAATAACTCCATGAATTGAGAAGGATCAAGCGTGATGGAGGGAAGATCTCCTCCCAGACCTACTGCCAGTTTCTGGAAGAAAACTTCTTCAAACAGTGGTAAAAGAAGAAGTCGCCATCATTCAAGCAAAACATGATATTCATGCAGGACGATACTCCGTCACACGCATCAACATACACCACAGCGTGGCTGGCCAGAAAAAGTCTAAAAGGAGAAAAAATAATGACATGGCCCCCTTGTTCACCTGATCTGAACCCCATGGAGAACCTGTGGTCCTTCATGAATGTGAGATCTACAGGGAGGGAAAACAGTGTCTGGGAGGCTGCTGCACACAATGTGGATCACAAATAGATCAAGACACTGACAGAATCTATGGATGGAAGGCTTTAGAGCGTCATGGTGAAGAAAGGTGGGTATATGGTCACTGATTTGTTTTTTGTTTGTTTGTTTTTGAATGTCTCAAATGTTTATTTCTGAAATTTGAGTTATATTGTTTTACCTGGTGAAAATAAACAAGTGAGATGGGAATATATTTGTTTTATATTACATTGTCTCATAATTCTGCACAGTTATATTTACCTGCACACACAGACATCCTCATAAAATGGCCAAATAACACATCAACTTCCAAAAATATGAAACTTTGATATTAAGGAGTCTTTTGGGTTGATTGAGAACACAATTGTGGCCCAATAATAAAAATAATCCTCAAAAATACAACTTGCCTAATAATTCTGCACACAGTGTAGACGTTCATTGCAAAAAAGTTCAGTATTCCTTGTGCTATCAGAAAATCTCCTATTTAACAAAAATAACTGAAGAAACTGAATTGAATCAACATACAAAACTTATGGCTCATGTTTTAGAAAGTTATCCAACTGGGGCTGAGTTCTATATTGTCAAATATGAGCCTTTCATACTGGTTGATATAGATAAACATAGATTCTTTTTAACTATTTGAAATAACAGGGGCAAAAAAAAAGGCCACATTTAAAATAGAAATTAAATAAAATGTAATCCTTAACCTTTAAAAAAAGGTCAGGCCTGGTGCTAATCTTGCTTAGTTTGTCTGGGAAACTAAGCAAACTACTCTGCTTAAATCCCCCAGATTATAGATGGATTGAAGTTTAGTTTAATTATTAAGAATTTTATTGGAGGTATTGATATTGACCACCTGTCTATTATAATATAGATATTAACATTGATATATTAAAGACATTCCAAGTTNACTGTATATTAATGATTTACATGAAGAAGTAATTTCAAATGATTAAAAGATGATAGTAAGATTACTACAATTAATATGTCTTCACCTCTGATTGCTACAGGAATGAGCTGTTATTGCTTTTATAGTCTGCTCATAATAATTAGGACTCCAGTGATGATTCAGAGGTCTATTAGGGACTGTAAATAGTACAACACATTTAAAGCCTTTATATTGCTCTTCAAAACACGGCAAAAAATATGATGAGTAAAACACTTTGGGAAAAATAAAAAAAAAATGCTTATGGGACTTACCCTTCATATCTTATAGCCACTTTGTAAGCCAAAGCCACTATGGCAGTGAGGATTAAACCGACAGGACTGGCTCCACTAAAGAGAAAATCAGAGAGAAAAGGAGAATATCATATTATTAATCATTAACACAAAGGAGATTATTTTTAACTTTACGTAAACACAGAAATAAAAACAAAACAGCAAAGACGAAC